AGAGAATACAAGATGAATTAACAATGAACCAAAGCATCTAAAATTAAATTCACTCTTCGTACATGTACTATAAATGATGACAAAATAAATTACATATACATATACATATACAAACACATATACATACATATGTATTTATATAAGATATACATGAAATTATATGACATTTTCCTAATTGGGCGATTACACAAATTTTTACATTACTTGGTCTTTATATTAATTAACTAGGTTCTTTTTTTTTTCATTACAGATAATTTCCTGATGAAGTTATGGAGCAAGCTTAGGCTTAGAAAAGTTAGGCAAGTTATTTATACCGTGAAAGATAGCTGAAGGATAACTGTCTTCAACTGAGACCGAAAGATAGAGATAGCAGTTAACATTTATTTTCATAATCTAAAACATATTATGATCTCAGCAACAGAGACCTATAGAGACACTAAAGAGGGGGGTGGTTAGAGGCATTTGATCAGCGTTGGGGGAGAAAAGAGAGAAAGGCATTATCCAGAGAATTCTGCCCAGCGGTTGCCTGACCGCTGCTGACTTCTTTGCTCCCTCTTGAATGTCAGTCTGGTTCTGGCCCAGGCCCAAGAGCTAAGTTTCAGATCATGGCAGGCTTAGGAGAACAGTGCAGACTGGAACATCTAATCCCACCCTGGCTTGCCCTAAAATGTCCCCTGAGTCCATCCAGTTTCTGAGCCTGCTGCCTAAAGCTGTTTCTAGAAACTCAGATGCATAGAAGAGCCATGCCACTTTTGCTCCAGTTTTGAGTTTGGGCTTTACCACACAATTTTTTTTTAAAGAATTTTCATCTTCCCACATACCATCTTTTAGAACAGACTGCTTAAAATTCCTTAGAGGAAATGAGTCAGCTAGCCGATGAAAGTGGGCATCTCCATATTTCCAGGACCAAGGTAATCATCACCCGTTAGGAACCTACCTGTCACATGGGAAGCCAGTGCCAGGCACTCGAGTTTTCCTGTTGCCTTTTCATCCAGAGGCTTAAAATGAATCTCCTTAAAATGTTTTGGTACGTGTGGGCATTCTCCTGCTTACACAACCCCTGTTGGAAAGTAATGTTTGTAGGCTGCAAAGTGGCTTTCTGTTGAGGTGACAGCCTGCCTCCCAGAGAAGGTGCCAGAAGAAGGAGACCTCGAGAGCCACTGTGAAGATCATATGCCTTGATCCCTTTTCAGATACTGGCAAAGAGCCAGACCCAGGGTATTGCTACAATGAGTAGCTGGGCGAAGTGGCAGATTGCCAGGTGACGGCCAGACTGCCATTTATCAAGTGATGGTTTTTATAGACTCCCAGTAACCCATACTGAACCCTGTGGTTTCTGGGAGAAAAAAGAGCCAGATTATTCTCCTATTGGAAACAAACAAACAAACCAAACACTAGATTTAGGTCTGCAGGATCTATATTGGTCTTTCAAAATATTTGAGTATTTATTTTGGTAAATAGCCTTTGCAGGATCATATGTCTGTAACTCACACTTTTACTGAGTCTGGGGATGCTCTTTGCTATTCCAGTTGCCATTAAGGTTCCCTCATTTCACTAGGCCCAGGGGCTTTATAATGCTGTCTGTAGCTGCCTCATTAACTCTCACCCCTCTTGGGTTCTCTGAATCTAATTTTTTTCAATATGATAAGGAGGACATCATTTAATGTGAAAAGTGTCACAATATTCAAAGAAAAAAATGAGTATTGATAAACTGAGAAAAACATGATTACCATAAAACGACATCTTAAAATGTTTTTTATAATTTAGGATTTGTATAAACAAAACTAATATTTATTAATGTGTCCTATTAATTCATGCAAGAGAGGATTATACTCTATATTTAGAGTACTCCTTTCTTGCGCCTTGAAAAAAAAACAGTGGACGCTAAGGATTCATGAAATACGGTTTACAAATACATTTTTAAGTAAAGCTTATTATTCTTTTCTTGTAAAACTAAATTTTTATAAATCCTAAAGTTTTAAATTTCTTTTAATGCTCATGTGAGAGAAAAAGGGGGAGACAGAGAGTGTATGCGCAAGTGGGGGAAGGGGAGAGAGAGAGAGAGGGAGAGGGAGAGAAAGAATTACAAGCAGCCTCTGTGATATCAGCACAGAGCCTAATGCAGGGCTTGAACTCAGGAACTGTGAGATCATGACCTGAAGTGAATTCAAGAGTCAAGATGTTTAACCGACTGAGCCACCCAAGTGCCCTATAAATCCTAAAATTTTAATCCTACTTCAGCTAACTATTCGTCAATACTCAGGACCATTATGGAGTTATTTTGGTTAAAATGTTTAGGGTTAATTCATTAAAGGATGGAAATTCAGATACAGAAATTGCTTAAGATCTATACTTTGCCTTATTAAAACAAAACAAAACAAACAAACAAACAAACAAACAAACAAAAAAACTCAGAAAAAGGAATACCAAGCCCGGAGATCTTAAATCTCTAACAATGTAAATATCATATAATTTAATATAATTGGTAACATTTTTTTGTTGAACTTAAGAGTAGATTTCAGGGGCGCCTGGGTGGCTTAGTCGGTTAAGCGTCTGACTTTCGCTTGGGTCATGATCTCGCGGTTCGTGGGTGCGAGCCCCGCGTCGGGCTCTGTGCTGACTGCCAGCTCGGAGCCTGCAGCCTGTTTCAGAGTCTGTCACTCCCTCTCTCTCTGACCCTCCTCTGCTCACGCTGTCTCTCTCTCTCTCTCTCTCCTAGAAATAAATTAAAAAAAAAAACATTTTAAAAAAAGTAGATATCATACAGAATATTCAGAAAAAAATAGAAAACAATTACAAATGAGAAACTGGGATCTATCTATAATGATTGAGCTAAAGTGCAATACTAAAAACTACCTCTTGGGCCAACAACATTGTATCATAAAACAGCTTGTTAATGTTCAGAGGTTACCAAGAGGGCAAAAACGTAAGCATGAAAGCTGAGGTACCAGCGCCAGAGACTCAGATTCAGGCATGGCTATGCTCCCTGCCTCACTTACCAAACAGGACTGTTGCAGTTCTATCCCATAAAGCTGCTGTGAGGAGTAAAAGCAATCATGTTTGATGAAGTGTTTCACAAGTTTTAGATAATCTAATCTTTTTAAGAAAAACAAAGGGCAAAAAAAAAGGAAAAACAAAGGGCAGGTAATTCAAAAGAGAAACTAAGGTGATAATGAAAAGTATTATCAAGTGCTGAGCATAGCACCAAAGATTTTACCATGCACTGTTCCATTTAATCTTTATAACAACATGATAAAGAACAGTAGGCATGATTATTATCTCCATTTTATGGATGAGGAAACTGAGGCACAGGGAAGTCCAAGGAAACATGGTTTGCAACTGGCAGAGCAGGAATTCAAAGCCAGTTCTACCTGATTCTAGAACCTCAATACTTTCATATTAGTGTTACAGGAAAAGTTTAACTTCATTAGTTATCAAAGATTTCACAATTTAAAGATATGGAAATGGAAATATACGATAAACATCAATTCCAGTTGTCTCTATAGAGAAAAGGAAGGAGGGGAGAAGAATTGGTACAGGGCACACAAAGAATTCAGCCATAGATATAATATTTTATTTTTATAAAAAAACTCTGAAAATATGGAAATGTGTTAAAATTTAATAAGCCAGGGCCATAGGTTACTATTTTTCTTCATGCTTTAAATAATTCATGGTAATGGGGTGGCTCAGTCAGCTGAGCATCCAACTTCAACTCAGGTCGTGATGTTCATGGGTTAAAGCCCCACATCAGGCTCTCCACTGACTTCGTAGAGCCTGCTTGGGATTCTCTCTCTCCCTCTCTCTCTGCCACTCTCTCACTTAGTCTTTCTCTCTCTCTCAAAAATAAATAAATAAACTTAAATAATTTATGGTAAAAAATTAAAACAGTAAGTTAATGTCACCCTATTTTATTTATATGAAGACAAAGTAAGATGATCCATTAAAAGCTAGAGACACTAATATTCTCATACACTTCTGGTGATATAAATTGGTCCAACTCTTTTGGAAACTAATTTGGCAATGTGTTTCTAAAACTATAAAAATAATCATACTCTTTGGTCCAGCAAATTTCCTTTTGCTACACTATCCTAAGAAACAATTATCAAAATATGCAAGTACATTCGCATATAAATACACATGCTGGAAAAACTATATGCATAAAGATGTCAACTGCAGTATTATTTATAATAGTGGAATATGATAAACAATATAAAATTTTAAAAATAGTTAATATTTTGCAACCTTTAAAGTAATATTTAATTACGAAGGCTCTATAGTAATACATGTAATGGTTGTGATGTAACATTAGTCGAAAAAAGTCAGAATATGAAATTGCATACCCCCTAGAATTAAATCAATGAAAAAATAAGCATAGAATAAAGTTTAGGAAGAAACACCTTATAATGAATGATGAGTATGGAACTAGTATTAGGATGAAGAGATCATGAATATTTTTCTTTCTCTTTCAAATTTTGGATAATAATGATCTGACATATGGGAATTTTGGTTTGGTTTGGTTTGGTTTCTATTTATTTATTTATTTTGAGAGAGAGAGAGAGCAAGCAGGGGAGGGGTAGAGGGTGAGAAGGGGAGAGAGGGGAAGAGAGAGAGAGAGAGAGAGAGAGAGAGAGAGAATCTTAAGCAGGCTCCATGCTGCTCAGCACAGAGCCCAACTCAGGGCTCCATCTTATGACCATGAGATCATGACCTGAGCCAAAATCAAGAGTCAGATGCTTAACCCACTGAGCCACCCAGGTTTCTCTGACATATTGTTTCTGTAATATAAAATTATACCATGATGCAACCCAGCTTTGGATATAATGAGATATGTCTGAAAATAAACTAGAATTCAAGGGAGAGGATGAGGAGACCCCAGGAAGATTATAGACAGTCCACAGTCAGTTGAGGAGTTCAGAGGAAGGGAGGTCCATCCGGTTGGGGTCTTTGGGAGAGCGCCCTGAAGGAGGAGCTGTCAGTGGCTTTAATAATTGGTAGAACTAATCGTTTCTCAGCCTTTTGGCTAAGATCAAGTGTAGTATCTGTTCTTATCAGTTTAATAATTGGTAGAACTAGGCCTAGAGGAGGGCCTAGAGGAAGGGGGCAGGCAAGCTTCAAACAGTAGAAAGATATGAGGTAATGGGGAGGCAATAGCACTTCATGTTTTATTTTCAGTTTTGATCTTCTGATTCTTTTTCAGAAAATGCAGTGGCTTTAAAGTTGTCATGGTTGAATTAATTCCACAAAACAACTGGTTGTAGAATCATAGCAACATAATTATGAGCTGTGCTTCTGGCTCCAAATCATTCACCTAAAAATAATCACAATGACTACATCTTGGGAAAACAAAGCCATTACCTATTCTTGTGCTCCAGCTATCTTGGTAGTCACTTACTGGAAAAATGGATCGTGGGTAAAATAACTACATGTTTTCAGAACTCTGGTTTGTTACTCTTACCTTAACTGAGCTGATTAATGAAATAATTTTTAAACTGTCTGTCTACAGGCATTCTCTTAAGCATGAACATGACTTAGGAAAAAGCACACAAGTCGGTCTGTGTTCCCCCAGGAACACAGCCCTGGCACTCCTGAAAGCTGATGTTGTTCCTTCAGGGAGTATATTTTTCTTGTGCAGAAAGGAGCCCAGAGGTCAGGGGTGGAGCTGTTCTGAGTAGGTAAGTCTCCCACATGGGTAAGATGAATGAGCCTGTATGCTCCACTGCCCCCCACATATGCCAGCTGGTCCTTGCCCAGCTTCCTTGGGTTAGGTAAATACTCACTGAATAATGTATGAATTGACGGGATGAATGATGATGGTTATCATTCACAGAAGGATACTCTGTGCTAAGAGTTTATGTTCATGAACTCATATTGTCCTAAGAATCCTGCTGAGTATAGAATTCAAATGCCAGGGTTCTTAGGTTCTACTACCTCTAGCTTTTTTTTTTTTTAATCCTCTTAAAAATAAAAGTGGTCCATTGCCATCTTATACACTGGTGACAAATCTGCTGTTTCTCCCCACTTCTCCAGATTTCTCTTTCTCTCATCACATTCTGTCTCCCTGCACGGGCCAGATCCATCCAACCCCCTTCTCCATCCCTCTTGTGTTTGCCTTCCCTTCTTGTATTGCCTTAGCCAGTACCATGAACACATCACCCCAATTCTGTCACTCCCAAAGTATCACCCACATATGACTGCATGTGTAACAGACATCTTTTTATGTTCAAGTGAAAAGATAAGGAATGGTCCTGTGGTGTTAAAGTGACAAACAACTCAATATTGGATATTAAGACTGCAGCCCCAAATAGAGCTCGAGACTGGACTGTTCTGCTGGATTTCTCTCCTTCCTGAGGTTGGTGCTTTCATCTCAAGCTCTAGGATGCTCAAAATACTTCCTTATCATGCAAAACACTTTAGTTCTCTGTCTGGGGCTTCCTTGTTCACTTCCAAAGCAGGCCCATCAATCAGGGTGTTTCGCTATACTTAGAGTCCTAGGAATCAGAAGGCCTGCAGTCTGGTGTACTTTTAAATAGCACCCTTCAATGCTATGTTATTATCCACATTTTACATAGATGAAACAAGGTTAGTGAAATTAAGTGATTACCCAAGTAAAAGGACAGAACATGAGTTAAAAGCTGGGTTACCTAACTCAAAACTTATGCTCCTCCCATTAAGCCAGGATGAAAGTATGAGAGAGTCAATACTTACTGAATGTTTACAACATGGCTGGCTCTGTTCTAACAACTTGAGGGGCATTAACTCATGAAATCCTCACATTAGCTACTATCAACTTCATAGGTACAGAGACAGTAAATAATTTGCCCAGAGTCATGTAGCTAACAAATGGAAAGTTCAAGATTAGAACCTAGAAAGTTAGTCTGTATGGGTCTCATCATTAGCTACAGTGCCCATCTAGAGTTACATGCTCTAGATCCCCTCAGTCCTTTCTGTGGATGGAAATGGGGTCAGAACTGGGTGACCGTTTAATCTGTACCATGAAAATGACCCCAGTGTGGTTTGGAAACTCACATTTTCTGAAGCCATGAGAGTGCAGGGGCATTGTAGGGTCTGAATCTAGTATGAACTAGATTTCCTCAGTGACAAACAGTGTAGTAAACTTTGTAACTGTTGCTTTTGAAAATTATAATGTAATTGAGCCTTTTATTATTTAATGAGTTGCTGGAACTTCACTTAATTCATTTAGGTAGTCATTCAAGATTTATCTATCATGTCCTCTGTATGTCACCTATAGTTAGGCACGGCCAAAAAGATGAATCCTTCACATCCAGGTCCTGGAGTAGCTCAGAATCTTGTGGGGAACTTACAGTCTAGTGCATGCTGTTACATGACTCATTCATCAGAACATTGCACATCTGATGATACTTGAAACTTGAGAAAGTCCTATTTAAGATCATGTGCACAAGAAACAATCTACAAATTTGTCTTTGGAGAAAGAGAAATGGCTGTCTCTTCAGCAGAAGCAAGCCCTCCAACATAAAGAAAGAAGATAAAGAGAGCCTGAGTGACCACCCACGTGGCCTTCCAGCCAGGATCCTACAAAGAACATTCAAACACACACTGACCTGAAAAGTCATGACCTGGAGTTCATGATCATATTCTGAGTGTTAAGAGGTCACATCACAAGGAGTATTGAAGGGCACCTGGGTGGCTCAGTAGGTTGAGCATCTGACTTCAGCTCAGGTCATGATCTCACGGTTCATGGGTTCGAGCCCCGCATCGGGCTCTGTGCTGACCTTCCCCTGCTCACTCTCTCTCTCTCTCTCAAAAATAAATAAAACATTAAAAAAAAATTTTTTTTTAAAAAAGAGAGTATCAAGATTTACATGAAGGCTAAAAAGGCAAGTTAAATGGTAAGATCAAAAAGAATGTTTTTTCCAATACTGATCTATAGGGAATGGTGCTGAGATTCTAGAATTCCCTGCTAGGTTCTTTAGAGGAAAAATTTATTAGCATGAAAAAGGCATTACCTTGGATCACCAATGCTTGGTAGTACTATTTCTCAAGAATATAGAACTTGCTTTGATTTATTTTATGCTCAAAGTTCCAATCTAAAGTTTGATCTCCTGAGTGGACATGACCATTCAGGCAAGATGCCTCATGAAGATAACCACTAGCAATTCTTTGAACAGGAACATCTCTCATTTTAAATTAATAAATAGACATCTTCACTTAGAGATGGATCTTAAATATGAACCAAAGCAAAGGTTTTTGAGCTATACCTGTAGGGCCTCACTTGCAAACAGCAAGTTTTAAATTGCATGAAAACTGTGCAGTGTTTTGTATTTGGTATCTATGCTGGAGTATCTCAATAAGATTTCATTTAAGAAAAAAAAACGAGGCCCATTGCAAAAAGTAAACACCTCTGAAATTTTGATCCATTTCTCTATTCACAAGGAACTGAGGCCCAGAGAGATTAAATGATTCACTAAAATGGCAGAGGCAAATCTTAAAACTAGGCTACCATTCAAAAATAAACGATTAGGACCTCATCAAGATTAAAAGCTTCTGCACTGCAAAGGACACAACCCACAAAACTAACAGGCAACCTACGGAATGGGAAAAGATAGTTGCAAATGACACATCAGATAAAGGGTTAATATCCAGAATCTATAAGGAACTCACCAAACTCCACGCCCGAGAAACAAACAACCCAGTGAAGAAATGGGCAGAAGACATGAACAGACACTTCTCCAAAGAGGACATCCAGATGGCCAACAGACACATGAAACGATGCTCAGCGTCCCTCCTCATCAGGGAAATACAAATCAAAACCACACTGAGATACCACCTCACGCCAGTCAGAGTGGCTAAAATGAGCAAATCAGAGAACTCTAGATGCTGGCGAGGATGTGGAGAAACGGGCACCCTCCTACACTGTTGGTGGGAATGTAAACTGGTGCAGCCCCTCTGGAAAACAGTGTGGAGGTTCCTC